AGGCTTTGTCTTCATGGTCTGGTTTAACAAAACCTAAAGCCCCCAAACAGTTAAACGGTTTCACAGTGGTGGTTATCAGTCTGCTTTGTCAAATCTGGTTTTCAGTTTTGTTCTTTGTGCGCATAAAAGGGGGACAAAGTTGTAGTTGCTGCCAAGAAGGCAAGGGAGGAGTGCTGGCAGAAAATGGCTGACTGTGTAAATGGGTAATTTAACAAAGATGAATATTATATTATGCCCTTAATGTTTTAATTTTGAAAGCTCAGTATTGTGCAACTTTTACGTTAATCCTTTCATGTTAATTCTTATCCATAAAAAAACTGGAGCAACACCTGTCTTTTCATATGATCTATATATTGTCTTTTTTTATTGTCTTTTACTGATGTAAAATATAGTGTTGGGTTTTTTTGTGTGTGTCGGGATTACGTAACAAATCTACAGTTTTGACGGCTTACACTGCTCTATAACAGGTACAACATTGATCAGTTCCTTAGTTTATTCATGGCCACATCAAAGTGAAATATTTAACTTTATTATCTGTGACAAATAACTACTAAGTAGGGCTAATTAATATTTCATATTTCATATTTTGCTTCCCCCATTATTCTTGCTGCTGTGTTCAATAAACAGTTAACTGATAAACTCTAATGAAAGTTGAGTCAGGAGCACATGAAAACTCACCTTTGCTTCAGTTGTACTTTAATCTGTCTTTATCTAGTCTTCTTTATTATTGTCACAGCTCCCAGGTCCACCAGGTTTTAAATAAATGGTCACACCACGTACGAATGAGTCACACAGTACGGCCAATTTAAAGCTGAAACTAAGCTGAACATAACCTGGTCAGAACCAGGTTATGAGCTAAGCATAAGGTACCATGGTAATCTAGCTGTTTAAAGGAGAGCCACTTTTGTAGTACATGAAAGCCTGGCTTCAGACTCAACATGTCTTGCAGAGACACTAAAATGGCTTTGCAGTTCATCGCTCTGATGTCTTTATCCTCAAACAGTTAACCCTGATGTTTCTGCTGTGAGACATCGGAGGTCATGTTGGAACTGAAGCTCTTTCTTTCTGCCTCTGCAGTTTTGCATCTCATTCCATCTTTGATGACATCTTTTGATTATTGTGGAAAAGACACACAAACACACACTCTCAGTGGGGGAGATATTTGCGGAGAGCGACTGGTTTGAAAACAATGTACGTTCCAGTTGGTTCTGTTGTCCCTTCTCTGAGACAAACAACACTGTGGTCCTGTCCCCTGGGATGTGCGTGCGTGCTAGTGAGTGTGAGTGTGTGTTCGTAGTAGGAGGGTCCTGGTTCGGGTCACACTGGTGTGTTTGCAACATCAGAAACAACAGCATTTCTTTCTTTTTTTACTTTAAATTCTTCTGAATTTACAGACGTGGCCTGAGCACAGGGTTTAGTGTTGTTGTTTTTTTTAAATATTGTCACTGTAAAATGTTAGTGACCTGACCAGAGTGATACTCCCATCGGCCATATTATATAACTGTGCATCCAGAATCAAAACAATAGTAAACCAAGAATAAAGTTAGCAATGGTAGATTTGTTTTTATCACAGCCAGATTTGAAATTGATGATGTTATTAATTGATATTATTTCATGGTTTGACTTATGCAACACACACACTCAGATTTAAGTTTGACCTTTGACATTTTGAGTAGATGAATTGATTATCATTAAATTAATAAAAGCTGCTCTGAATGCAGTTGTGTATGATGGGAAATGACCTTCTGACTCCTCTGTGTTTGTCTCTTTGTTTTTATGTCTTTGTTTTTCTGCTAATGAAAAACAGGGCAGCTTCTCTGCTCTCCCCTCTCCTCCCTCTACCCCCTCTTTGTGCTCCCTCCATCCTCTCCCTATTCCTCCCCTAGCTTCCCTTTCCCCTTCTTCTACCGGTCCTCGACCCTCCCTCTCTGATATCTCCATAGATCCTGGTGTTTCTCCTTGTTGTTTGATCACGTCTAGTATCAGACTCTGTTTTTCCTTTTCTGGCATAAGTTCCTGCAGCAGAAACCTACACAGTTCCTGGCACTATACCTATTTATTGTTACTGGTTCCTGCAGTAAAATCCCATTCCTTTTGTTTTTTTTCTTAGTTAATTTAGTTTGGATCACACACTGATTCTGCTGTGCAAACAATAAGCAGTGATGACATCTCTGATAAATATTATACTGATGTCATTGGTGATGTCACACTGTCACACTGATATATTGATGTTATCAGGGATTCTGTCACTCATCAGAGATATCACTCATCAGGAGTTTGTGGTTTTAAGACATTTGTGTGTGTTTAAATGTTTGTGAACAACAGGTGGCGTTGTTGATCACACCAGAGTTTTAGTTGTGGTGGTGATATAGTGACGGTGTTGTTGTGCCAATATTCTTATATGTTAAATGATTTTTAAACACATTTTTGTAAAGACCTCACAGAAACAACTTGTTTACTTTTTCATGCTACTGCTATTATTTGTATGTTTTGGTTACAGTTCCTGAACACCAGGTGGCGTTGATCCCTTCAGTTTGTGTTGATTGATTCAACACGTTGTGATGTGTACACATGCACACACCGTTCAGACAGCTGTTCTGAGGTGTGTCCATATGTCTGGGTTTGTATTTTTCCTTTCAGTTTAGTGTGTTGTCAGTCAAGATCATGGCCAGAGATCAGAGGAGGTGAATGTTACGTCTCTCACTTGTGTCTGTTTGTTTATTCTCTGAACTCAGTTTGACTTGAGCACCTGCTGATCTTAGACCCATCTTCAGGAGTTCACCTGAGGTTCATCTCAGGAGATCTTCAGGAGTTCACCTGAGGTTCATCATGTCTCACACACACGCAGTTCTTTATTGAAGACTCCTATTATATAATGCATTCCTATTCTATAGCCCCGAGGTGTAACCAAGTCTAAAAGTAGTTGTTTTTTAGGCACACTCCTGTAACAACGAAGTATTTAAACCTAAGCAAACTCTATGAGACAAAATCAGTCATTTTAACTCACAAGGCAACAGGGGTTGCTGGTCCACTGCTGCCTCCTGTGGTTAATATGTGTCATTGACGTTCATTAAAAACAAACCTATCATAAAAAAAATTGTAAATGTTTTTTATCAACAGCTCCAGTGCAATGCCACTGACCACTGAGGAAATCACTCTAATAGTGTATTTGGTCTGTGGACTGGTCTGACTGATTGACAAAGATCAGTTTCTGTTGTCCTACTGTAAAACACAGGGTGAAGAAACATTCAGAGATTTTTCTTAAAGACTTCCAGGTGTCCATGCATCATATTTCTACAGCGCATTGTCTGAATAGGACTTGGCCTGAAGGCACGTTCTCGCACCAGTGTCAATATTTCCAGTTGGGCAGGAACATCTGTTGGTGCGCTGCCATGTGATTTAGTGTGTATGAGGTTGGTTGATTATTTTTCTCGGTGCAGGAACGTCGGGGGTTTTTCCTGCGTGACAGCCTGTCAGACGTGTGCAAACGACGCCCGCTTTGTCATTTCAATGTCAAACTGAGTCAGGCTCCGGGAATGACAGCAAGCATCTGCACATCCAAGTATAAAAATCAAGCTTCCAAAGAAAACAGGTGTGTCATCTTGACATTGGTGTTGGTCTTAGATATTTAGAGAAAACAGCACTTCTTCCTGTAAGGACAGACACTCCCTTTAACATCACAGGAAGTGAGAAAAGGTTGAAATTTTTTGGATCATTGCCGTTGTCAATCCGTCAAACAACAGAAGCTGATACTAATTTACTTGTGTCGAGTTGATACATGTGATATTTCAGTTTCAGAAAATTCCCACATAAGCAGGTTTAACCCATCATCGCCGAGTGACTCATGCAGATTTATCATGAGTTTCACTTTCATCATTCACAGAACATTCAAAAAATGTCTTTGCCATCTTTTGGCAAATCGAGCTTTGAGTAACTCATAAGATAAATATATACATAAGCTGTAGTCCATCGTAGAACTTATTTATTTGTGTCAGCAAATTCTTAGAAAAATGTTCACTAGTCCTCTGATCTTAGTCTTTGAAAAGAAAACATATAATTTACACCACTTCCTATCCAAAGCCAAAGTCACACTTCGGGTGGCGGCAGCGAGGCAACGCCTACAGTGTTTCTATGAGCTAAAATCACTTATGGTAGTTCTGGAATCAGTTCATTTTAGGCCCCAGCTCCCGACCTGAATGAGTAGGGTTGTGTGAGAACTCTTCCATATCACTATGTCAGCTGAGGTGACCTGTGGTCAAAGGACAAACAAAGAAATGCCTCTACTCTGAAGCCTGATTATCTTCCTGATCCTATCTTTAAATGTCCAGTCACACCCCTGCTCTCATGGCAGCCCCCTTCTGTTGACATACACTGGTTCTCTGCTCTCATTGGTTAACTCCAGTATCTTCATCATCTCTGTGTGTTGCTGCATCCAATCTGAAGGATTAGAACATGCTCTTTAATCTTGCAGCAGAGGAGAACATCACAGCATCTCTGTCCTCTAGACACGGTCTCTTTTTCCCGTCCTCATATGTCTTTGCCTCCTCTGGCTCCTCATAACTGAACAATACATAGACTGGGCTCTACAGCCCAATTTGTTTAGGTTTTCCAGACCAAGGTTTCCCAAACTGATGGACAGACGGACTGATGGCAGGGACACCCAACTATGTTATCACTGAATTTAAAGTACATCTGTGGACTCCCAGGGGGTCACAGACCTTTTTTTGAAACCCATTATCTTAGAGGAGAAAGAACCTTTTTTTTAATCTAGGTAAATTCTTATTGGTTGTCACATTTAAGAATAAACCTGGTGCAGAGAGGGAAAACTGAAATTCCAGTGACCTGTCAAATTTTAAATTCAACTTGTTTTTTGTCTGGGCTGCCCTTTGTGCTTGTGGACAAAAGCTTTTCTGTGTTAAAAAAAAATCTTTCGAGGATATAATAGACAAAAACGGTTTGTCTTCTAAATACATTGATAAGACCACGCACTCAGTCACAAGTTTTTTAACCTTATATTTTATTACAGGAGTACATTTAACAACCACGGTAATAAAATAGGCTGAAGAGAAGGTAACAGGAAGCTCCGAAATTAAACTAATGAACATTTGTTTTTCTGTTACAAGAAAAAAGACATTTTTATGTACAGAGTGACATCGGGTTCAGAGGTGACAGGAAGTGTAGTCTCATGGCAAAAAAAGATGAAGTGCTTTCTGTTTGTTCATCATTAATATCAAATATAATGCAGCGATAATAAGTCTGAATAACACAACAACAATTATAATTATTATTATTAATCAACAATATTAACATTTTAAACACTGTGTACACTATTAAGGAACTGAAAATTATTTCTAAATACATCCAATATTTACCAGAAAAAATCTCATAGGCTAAAAAAAACTCTAGAATAAAAATATCATTTTCAAATCTCTGAATATTAATTGTACAATAACATTAACAGGTTGGATTAGTCAACATTAGTAGCTGATTTATTTATCTCCCTAAACAAAAAAAAATATAAACCAATAAATGCTCTGTCTTCACGCATTGACAGTCAGCTACAAACATGTACTCTGTCTGTGTGTGTGTGTGTGTGTGTATAAACTCTTTGTAAAGAGACAACTCGTCAGACTAGAACTCTCCATTAGAAAATATATACACAGGAAAAGCAGCAAAAAAATAAAATGTTCATATTTCATGGTGAGCAGATCAGTGGTGTAGTCGGCTGAAAAAGGCAACGGTTTCTGGAACCCTCCGGGACGCTCCGTCCACTGCCCTCCAATCATCTCCTCTCTAGCCCCCCATCTACATGAATGAATCCTTTAACTAAGGATCTGTGATGCCCTGGTCCTTCAGAAAGATCAGGAAGTCCACAGAGAATTCCCATCTATCAGACTCTTAGTCAGTTATAACTCTATTTCTTACATCATCCGTGGACGTTTACAAGTAGCAGTAGACGGAATATTGAGGAGGAGACTAGGAATGTCCAGTAGTTTTTCACTTAGGATTTGGAATTTCCTTACATTTCAGGAAAAACTGGGAAGTAGAAGGAAGAGACACGCCCACCCATGATGACATCCGTGAGTGGAACTGATCCTGCTGACCTGCGTTAACTCAGACCACCTTCCCTCTGCAGATCTTAATGGTCCACTGGTTTTTTTAACTAGTTGTTGACAATGTTGTTTCACTGTAAAAACTCAGACAGTGAACAATCCAGGACCCTGAGGTGACCTGCATGAGCAGAAGAAGACGTGACCCATCTCACTTCAATGATGTAACCGTTTAGGTAATAAGAAATGAGCGGTCAGGCTGAGGTCTGTTTAAAACCATCAGATATTGATCTGATTTAGGAGTGGGTATGTCAGGTTTCAGTCAGGTTTGTTCAGGCTGTATTAAATAAATCAGATATGGGGCACATGTTTGTAAAGACAAAGAAGTCGGCAGTGAGAAGTTAGTCTGAGAACCTCAAGGTTCTTGACACACCTAAGGCTGAACTCAGCTTCACCCTGAACCAAAATACTGCCAGTACTTCCTGTCCCAAAACGAGTGCCTAAACAATCCCAGCATTCCCAGAGACTTCCAGAGTTCAGTCGTTGATGGTTTTTCAAACACGTGGAGTATTTTGTGTCCTGACTGTGCAATCATATCTGTAACAGTAAAAAAAAAAACATCCTTTATTTCATACACGTGTCTTAAGGTCGTGGGTTTGCATTCTTAGCGTTGATTGAAAGAGCAGCAAGGCTTGGCCTGTTTCTCCACAGAACTTTACATAAACATGGAGGATAACTGAAGAAGAGCACACAAATAAACACAGACTGACACAGAGACACTCAAGCAGCATGTTTGTGGGTCGACTCCCCCTCTACCTCACCCTCCATCCTCACTGTTCCTCCCATCCTGCTCTGGAATGTTTACTAAAGTGTCCAAGAGAGCAATCTTCAGGTGGATGTGTCCTACTTTATGGTCCTCAATCCCAGTGGACTGCATCCATGGTTCCTGGAGTTGTCGGCAGTGGTTGGCACTGATGCAGCCAATGAATGCAGTCCACTTTAGGCTGTACAGGTACTGTTCACACACATTTGTTCACATTTGTTGTGATTCATTACAGGGATCTAAACAATTCTTCTCTTGTAGAGCTTATCTCACTGTTTACTGGAATAAATGGAAAACAGGAATGGGTTAAAAAAAAAACCTGTTAAAACAGCAGGTACAGAAACGATCTTTCTGTCATGGGTTCAGTCATTAATTCTGCTTTGGATGTCAACACTGACCTCCTAAATACTAACCCTGACAAACTATGGTTCCATGAAACAGGCCTGGTTCTGTTGAAATCCCAACACTTAAGATTCACTGTTGGAAACTGTTGTACTTGTTTGTTCTTGACTAATGGTTTTATGATCTTTGAAGGACATTAAATCCTGGGGATCTGTGAAGAACTCTGAACTGTGAACTGATCTGGACTAGAACCTGTACTTTTGGTTGTTGTTTTTTTTTCATGTCTTTACCCTGGTGGACAACCCAAACATTACACAAACTAACTCTTTCCACCTTTACCCTGTTTCATCCATCTGTCTTTTAAACCATCTGAACTTTCCTCCACCCAGCTTCTCTTTCCAATTATATTACATAGCTTTTTTGTACAAATACATTTTGTTTGTATATTCATTTAAAAATACACAGAATTGAGAAAAATACAGAACTTTTTGGCAGCATCCCTCTTTTAAGGAACGTCCAATATCATGACCTTCAGATGAAGATTTCTGCTTTTCTTTTGGTCTGAAAAAGAACCTCCAACTTGGTAGAACCAAGACGCTTACATTCCTTCCTTTAAATGCTTCTAAAAACTTCTTGGATCATTGAGCACCTGGCCCCTCCCTTGAGCAGGATGATGGCTTACAGGCTCGGCAACCTTCAGACGGTTGCTCCCAGAAGCTCTTCTGACTTAGCCATGATCTCGTTCTGGTTGGAGTCCAAGCCGTAGAACTTGACCTTGAGCCCATCAACAGGATGGACCACAGGTACTGTGATCACGCGGGGGAAGTTCCTTGTGGCTAGCTCAAAGCGACTCGTGCTGGCCAGCTCGATGGCGAGGAGGCGGAGGAAAAGGGTAGCCAGCTGTTTTCCCAAACAGGAGCGGATGCCACCGCCAAAGGGCAGGTAGTGAAAGCGACCTTCTTTGTCCTCTCCACGCTCCTGGCTGAACCTGTCTGGGTCAAAGGTTTCCACATCCTTAAAAACAGAGGAGGTGTCATGGGTGTCCCGGATGCTGTACATGACGCTCCAGCCTTTGGGAATCTGAACTCCCTAAAACCAAACAGAATGTTTTTGTCAGAACCTTCGGCTTGGTAAAAGAAACATAGGTCAGGTATCTTCAACGGGTTACTTACGTCCAGTTCGAAGGTCTGCATTGCCGTGCGATAGGCTCCTGAGACAGGAGTGAAGAGTCTCAGCACCTCTTTGATGACACAGTCCAGGTACTTGAGACTGACGATGGTGTCCAACCTCAGCTCCACCTCTGGGCACAGGCAGCCATTGTGAAGGAGGCCATGAGCCCTTAGCTCATCTCTAAGGCGCTCCAGGACAGGGGGCTGACGGAGGAGCTGCATGATGAGGGAGGTGCTAGCACTGGCGGTGGTGGCAAAGGCGGCAAATATGAGCTCAATAGTGGACTCCTGTGGTAGAAACAAGAAGTGCACACATTGCATTTAAGTCCATGAGGGAAATTAGTGATTTTAGCACAGAGACACAGGAGCTGCTTGTTAGCTGCTGCCTCCTCTGGTCAGTTTTTGAAACTTAGGTCTATCTGAACAAGAATTTCAAACAGTGAAGCCACAAAATCACACATTTGTACTTGGTAATGAAGCCAGCATTGGATCAACAACTGCTGTGAATCTGTGAGCTAAAATCACTGATTTTCTCTATAGACTTTGGAAGAGGAAAGTGGTATTCAGCCTGGGCCTCAGCGACAGGGGGCTCCCAGTTTGCTTGGTGTGTGTGCATGAATATGTGCATAGGTGTGTATGTGTGTGTGCACGTGTACACGCACACATACAGGAGGCCTCTTTCAGACCCCTCACAGGGGGAGTGTTGACTTATTTTTGGCCCTGGATTTAACCCAGAAACCACAGAACGAGCCAGAGCGAGGCCGAGAGTTGAGTTTCCACAGAATTCCTCGGAATTACTTTAATAGGTACATGGTGGGTGTGTCTGTTCGAGGGTGTTTTCTCCTGTTAGCCCCGGTCTTGTCCCTGCTGTCATATTTGTCTAACATAAACCTGTGTTTTCTGTGCAGACAGATTCTCCTCTCACTGTGTCAACACCGAGTGTGTGTATGTGTCTGCCACTCAGAAGTGTGAGTGTGTCTGTGTATTAGTGTGTACATGCCGTTTGCCGTGATTCTGTTCTATACGTGTCAACGCTCCCACGCGTGTCATGACATGTTTGCTCCTTGTACCTTCAGTTCCTGCATGGTCAGCTCGGTGCCATTCTCCTTGGCGCTCTCCATCAGGACGTCCAGCGCGTCGCTGTAGTCTTTCCCCTGGGTACACAGTGGCTTCTCTCTGATGGCCTTCTCTATGCTTTTCTGTAGGGTGTCACGTGCACGAATGCCCTACAAACACAACCAGAAAATCGTGATTTTATGGAATCAGGGCGACAGTTTGACAGATACGCAGAGACAGCGTGTCACTGACTTTACAGCTGTGTCTAACGTAACATTTGTACCTTTGACATTAAACAGGCTTTGTTGATAACGTTAGCATTCAGAGACCTTTTTCTTTTACGTATTTCTAAACGTTTACAGAGGGGTTTTTTTCTTATCTATAACTGACAGCTACATATTTATTGCCATATTTTCAGCTGGTCCCACCAGTTTTATGGCCAAACTTGAACAAAATTTCGGCACATTGTGTGCTCAGTTGTTGTAGGTTTTGTTTTATTTGTTTGGAGGGATGCTAGGTTTGCTGAGCTGGTTCCGAGGTTTTACTAATGTTGTTTAGATCTTGTCATGTTGATTAAAAAATAAACAGTTGTCGTCATTTAAGAACTTGTGGGATTGACACTGTATCTTTGCTTTCTTTGGACCTTATTACCTTTATTTTAGAACTTTCAGTAGGTCTTTTACTAACAGTTAAACTCAGCTGAGTGAAGTAATGCTGTCTGAAAAAGACTGCCCTGCAAGGGGTGCTGTAAGATTTCTGTTAGAAGCAGTTGTGGCATAGCGACCTACCCTCCTGTAGCCGCTGAAGGGCAGGTCAATGGGCAAACTGAACAGGTTGTCCACAAAGTCCTGAAAGGTGGAGAACAGATGTTTCATCTCGTCTTCAGAAACCCTGAAGCCCAGCAGGACTCTGACCGCCATGGTGAAGGACAGACGCTGACTCTCCCTATTGGGATGAAACACACAATTAGAACCAAATGATTTTGAGTTGATTCCTTGTTCGTTTGGTCATTCTTATGGTAACACCTTAGCCCTGGAACTGAGCTCTAAAATAGTTCTGTTTTGGTGCTGTTTTATGTGTGAGCTCCCAGCTCTTAGTTACCTGTAGACATTGATGGGCTCAGGGTTGGAGCTCCACACTCTCAGACTCTCTTGGATCACTTGCTGGATTTTGGGAAGGTAGGACTCCAAGGCCTCATGGCTGAACACTTTAGCAAAAACCTGACGAGACAGACAGACTTAAATGTGACTGTAGGTAAACAGGAGAAGCTCAGAATCTTTACAATGGATGGGACTGAGTCTGAACAAGTATGAACAGATGAATGTCGGTTGTGTCGGTTGAGACTCGGAGCAGATGTTAGATTAAATGGTCATTACTCTTCAGACATTTCAATATCCATTTTTCAACTACCTCATAAGTCATCAGAAGCAGACTGTGAATATCACAACCTGCTACCAGGTAGCCTTAGACTAGTGAGGTGAAATCAGTGTGAACATATGTATAAGAACTTCACCTTGATCTGAGTTTAAAAGCAAACACAGAAGTAGCTTGTGAAGATTTTTTGGAGGGGTTTTAATTTCATGAGTGCTGTTTGTCTGTGAGCTAAAATCACTGATTTTCTCCATGGACTTTGGTCTGTGAGCTAAAATCACTGATTTTCTCTATGGACTTTAGTCTGTGAGCTAAAATCACTGATTTTCTCAATGATTGGTGTGTGTGCGTGAATATGTCTCTTAGAGCCTTTACATTGTGTGGCTGCTTTCCCTATACTCAGCAAAACCAGGCTGACAGACAGAGAGATGGAGCTCTGACTCTTTCCTGGCTGCTCCTCCTCTTTACTTTTTTCTATTTTGTCAGAACCCGTCGTCAGTCGTCAGTGTGTTTGGACAAATAACATTCCGTCTGATTTTAAGCCCCTGCTGCCGAAAAACTGTCCCAAATGGAGGGAGAGAGAGCTCCAGAAGAGCTCCAGAATAAGGCTTTTATTATATTTTAATATGAATCAGTCACTAACACTTAGCTTTATTTGGATGAATAACACTGGGGCACGTTTGACCTTCACAGAACAGAATTTCTGCTGCTGCTACTGCTGCTGAGGCTGCCGAGGCTGCTGCTGCTTCTTGGCCCAAAAAACTCTTTTTTTGTTTTTTAACTGGTATTCAAAGACTTCATTGTCTTCACGACACTGTTCTTCTAAATCTCATGAACTTCACCCAAAGTTCTGGTTTTGGACTGGATGTAAGACGGTTCTGGTTCTGCTTCTACACATGGTTTGAATTTTCTGCTCAATGGAGTGAGACTGGAAAAGGTTTCTGAACCAGCGAATTTCACACAAGCGAAGGAACAGCATTTAACGACAAGTCGCTCACATTTTGGAAATGTCAACATGTGGGGCAGAGATTGGCTGTCAGTTGGCGTCTTATGATTTTGACAGTTCGTGTTCTCACCATCTCATTATGATGTTAGAAACAAATGTTAACTTTTAGCTAGTATAAGAAAAGCAGTACTAGTTGTGTTGTTGTTTCAAATGAGAAAGGTTTATAGACAAAACAATCAATTTTACAATACAGTACAGAACAGTTGTTAGGGCACTGAGGTCGGAAGTCCAAGTCTTTTTTGACCTAGGCTACAAATCAGAATGACCTGAGTTGCAAAATCAGACCACAGGAGGCAGCAGTGGAACAGTTGCCCCTATGATACTTTTAGCTAAAATCTATGATTTTCTCTGTGGAGTTTGGTGTGGGCGCGTGAGTGGTTCACTAGAGATGTCTAACAGTAAGATGTCACAGATTGGTTGATGTTTTATGTCAAGTAAAGTAGTGAAGCATGTGTTCTTTTTTCATCTGTGAAAATTGTTCAGGAAGAATTCCAAGAAATGAGTCTGGAGGTGACTGGACAGAACTGTTCCTTCAGCGCCAGAGGACGGTTGGGTAACACTGTGAAGTTAGCCATTTAACCCGTCTGTGCTGGATTAGGTGTAATTGGTCAAAGTGGGTGAGGAGCCAACGTGTGTACACACACTCTCGCACTCTCGCTGTCTTTCTCTCTCTCTCTCTCTCTCTCTCACACACACACACAAACACACACACACTCTGCAGAGGCTTTGTGCTACTGTAGGACCAATGAGTCAGTCTGAGTCTATATGTAGGCCAAATCTGAGAGGTAACTATAGGTCAGACACACACTTCACCTCATACACACAGGCACAATATCTCATCTGGCTGCCAATCAAACACAGTTTTTCATGCAGTGTCACCCTGGGACTGTGTCTGTGTGTGTGTGTGCACATATGTGAGTTGACTATAAAAGTGCTTTTTTGTGCTGCTGCACCACAAAAACGTGACTGTCTTCTGTTGCCTGCAGCGCAAAGACACAGGCTTTACAGACACACACACCAACTCACACACACAAACTCACAGAGCCGTCCTAATAACGTCCATATGTCTTAAATTATGTGAAAGTGCTGCGAGCTGCTGGTTCCTCAGACATGTAAAGACTCTTTATTCTTCTCTCTCTCTGCTTCCACCTCTTCCCGTCTCTCCCTGCCCCTTCATCGTCTCTTTTTTTAATCTGAAGTATAATGTCATTGGACGACACCGAGAAGAAAAATTAAATGCTTTACATAATTGGAAGCTGCCGTTCAAAAGTCCACAGAGAAAGTTTACATCACATCACAAATCAGTTGTCAAGCCATTGCTGCGTCAGCCACTGATTAACATTAGTGACACAAACTGGCCACAGGGGGCAGCAGTGGACTAGCTGCTCCCTAGTCTCTGTTTATTTCTACGGACTTCAGTAAAAGTGTAAAAAACTGAAAGAAAAAAAAAAGCTTTTAAATGTTTTAACATAAAGGTGAATTAAATTTGAAAGACGTGCGATCTTCAAGATATAAGTCCGCTTCACACCCACCAGGCATTGCTCAATTAACAAATGTAGAGGAGAGTTAGGTGGAGCCTTATCAACGAGTGTTTTGTTTTGTTTTTTGTTTGTTTTTTATCAAACTGGGAAAATAGTGCCTTCCAGAGGTGTCAGTGCCCTCTACTGGTCAGAAGGCAGAAACACCTAGTCCTAAAGTTAAATTAGATACGTATAAGATAGGAGAATAGTAAAAGTTTGAAGATGGAAGGAAGTTAAAAAAGTAAAGAGGAAGGACAGAGTGTATGCAAATATACAGTCAACTTTTACAACCTCATGCATGTCTGTGTCTGTGCGTGTCTGTGTCTGTGTGTGTGTCTGTGTGTGTGTCTCAATGCCTCTCTTTGTTGTCTCCATCCTCCTCCATAATCAGCATCATTACATGAGGTTAGAGCTGGAGTCTCCAGAGAGGAGAAGGATCAGAGTCCAGATTAGACTTGGACCAACACACTCACTCTCTCTCTCTCTCTCTCTCTCTCACACACACACACACCACACTTCAGGTTTCAGAGTTTGAAACCTGAGCCACATCTCCCACCTGTCCTCCCCTATCCTCACCTCCTCCCATCCCTCACCCCTCTACCCAGAGAAACAGAGTGGGTTAACAAGAGAATTCAGAACACACTCTGGATTTACACAGTGTGTGTGTTGTTGTTGTGTGTGTGTGTCAGAGAGAATATGTGTCCTGAGGACAAGGAGACAATAGCAGGCGGAGATTAGAAGCTGATTAGCTGAAAATGTCCTGGTAAAGAAAAGAGAAAGAGACACAGTGAAACAGGGAGAGGGAGAAAAGAGGCGAGTCAGAGAAGACAAGCTGCAGCAGCTGAGTCAGTGATGATGGAGTCAGCCTTAACCATACTACTACAGTGAACTGGTAGGACTGATATAAGTCCAAATCTAAAGGTCATAGAGGTCTTTGTCAGCTGTGGTGATTCCGTCCTCTAGTACAGTAACTAGTACTGTTAAATGTTTTATCCTGAAGCTGAAGGCTGGTCCTCTGTCTCTGTGACTTTGTCTTCTTTTTAAGGCAGCCCTACAAAGATGTTTATTTTGACAGAACTCTTCACAGAATATTTGGGAATTTTTCAAAATAAATCATCTTTCCCTCTGATAATCAAATACCAGTAGGGGGCGGCATGGTTTTAAGGAGCGCTAGCATGACACTGTGGATCTGTAGTGTAGCGGTTATGACGTCTGCCTTATACATCTGCCTAACATACAGAAGGTCCTGGGTTTGAGCCCTAGAGGAACCATATAATATGGCGCCTCCAAGTGGCAGATCTGCTGTTAACACAAAAATGTTCCCAATATGGAATCAATAAAATTATCTTTATTATTGGACTTTGGTCTTTGAGCTGGACTTAAGTTTGATATTAGCTCACAGACAGACTCGCTGTTTTTGTCATCCATAGATAGACAGAGAGAGGGAGCTGTTGTGTCCTCGGCGTCTCCTTACCTTTCTCCTCTTTCGGTGGACGTCTCCGATGCTGTTGGCCAATGAGTTTGGTCCCAACAGAGTGGACGTGCTCTGAGGCCAGTCCACTGTCACCAGCGTGTGTTCGCCCATCAGCACCTTCCGAACATTCTCCGCACCCGTCACCCGGATCAGAGGGCGACCCAGGAGGTGAGTCTTGAACACGTTGCCATACTTTTGTCTCCTTGAGGCATGGAAGCTTGAACCCTGCACAGAGACAAGAGTGATGACCTCAATATGATGATGGCAGAAAAAAATTACATATAACGATTAACACAGTGCTAAAATTAGCCAAAGGTTACTGTCATTGATCTCAGTAAGATGAGTCCACTGGAAGTTGAAAAAAAAAAAAATTAAAGAAATACATGAACAGCACAAAATATTTATATTAAATATCCTTGTACAAGAACCCATTTAAACCTAATATTTTGAGTCTTTGTTGGTCAGCCAAGAGGTGGTGCTACTGGTGTTCATTTGAAGCTTGGTGTGACAGGTCAAGAGTCCAGAAACATAACACAAGTCCAACTCTCTCACATCACTTGATTTGATTAGATTCTTTTGTTGAATTACTCATCAACAAAGATAGTTCAATGTTGCCCACCCCAGTTTTACTGTTGCCTGATGTTCCTACATGAAGACCAAACTCCTCGGACCATCTGAAGGCTCTGAAGGCTCTGCTCCCACACCTGAAGCTCCAACAGGATTCTAACGACTGCGTTTTATGCCGGTCATTAATTTAGGCTTTTAGGATTTGACCTTCACTCCTGCTTTGATCTTTAAAGCCCGTGCAGGTTTGAGGCCCAAACCAGAGTTTCTGCCTCCACTGACCTCCACTCAACAGAGGTCCTGAGCTTTCCTTTTTCTGCTGATGAGAAGTCTGTGTGGAGGAAGAATTCCAGAAGGCCAATTTGTGTAAAGTGAACAAACAAATTTGTTTTAAATGAGAAAAGTCTTCAGTTGACTGACTCACTGAATGAAGTCCTGCTGTTGTCCAAAGATTTCTCTGCCGTGGACTAAACTTTATTTAATAAATAAAACAAATATTTAAAGAATTTTTAAAGAATTTGATCAGGAGAAAATAAAAAAAAAAAGTCCTGTGGCAACAGTCACCAAAAAGTGAAGAAGACACTGAAGAACAGTGACATCATGTTTCCACAAAACTCCAGAAGGAAACTGATCGGAGAGGGTGCAGAGAACCCTCCATGGAACCACAGGAGAGACCGTAACTGTTCTAAAGAAAAACAAAGAAAAACAGTGGCGGGATCATTTTCAGCAGCTAATGGTGCTACAACAACACTTCCTGGATATTTTGAACCATCATAGGATGCCATGGCGTCCATTCTTGGTCCACTCTCCATAGTTTGAAGCCCCAGCTCTGAGTGAACCCCAAGAAGAGCAGAGCTGGAGTTACTTAGCGACGTGACCCAGGTTCAGCTTCAATGCAGACCTCTAAATTCTCCAGGTCACGGCAGAGCGAGAGGGAGGCGACCCCACAACTGTAAATGGGCTGTTTGAGTGAAAAGAATATATATCAGCCTGAGGGCAGGGCACCGTGCTACACACACACACACACACACACACACACAGAGTAACACTGCGCCTCACAAACACATGAGGCATTCTCCAGCACACACTCGCAGACTCACACGTACAGTAAAAGTCCACATACATGTTCTCCTGAAGATGCTAACACACACACACACAGAGGCCAAATTCCCAAAAACATGGAAAGCAAACAAACACTTGGGGCAGAGCTGCAAACGTCTATGACAACACTAACTGGTTTGACCCTGGTTTTACTCCAGAGAAAAAAGATATGTACTGCAGTGGGAGGCGTGTGCATGTACGTGTGCAAGTGGAAACACACACACACACACACAGGCATATGCACATGCCAAAGAAAAGTTTGGGTGTAAAAAGTAAAAAAGAGCTAACTTTTTAACCAATCTTTTAAAATGCTAAAGAAAAGAAAATTCTGATAGAAAGACAAGAAGCAGTTTATTTTTTAAAGTGCTAATCAAGCTAACCTTTGTTATAATACCTTCATAATGATATGAAAAAGAAACGTTGAAAGGCTAAAAGAATGTCTATTAATTATTCATTAAGAATTTAGTCTATGAAATATTACCTACACCTAGCTACTATGAGAGTTAAGGGTAAAGCATTGTGATAAAATGGTAATAATTTAGCACATTTTGTCTGAACTGGGGAACAAAATCCATAAAATGCTTAAAGTTAGCAAACAACTTCACATCTTTAACATTTCTCCAGTTTTGCGTGTGAAGCTAAATGAAACACAGATGCTTCGGCCTTACTTTCGTTTCATGTGGCTAATTAGCATTAGCACTTCCTGCCCCCCATCGTCAGCAGTGACACCTTTTCGGTAGCTGCACTTTTAACATGTTCAGAGATTTTTTTTGTCTTTCATTTCATGAGCGGGAGACAAATCATTCATCTACATTAGTGGAACATGATGGTGAGGACACTTCCTGTGTCTGCTGCAGTGCATTCTGGGTCATCTTTGGGTCAAGTTAAAGTATTGCTCTAATTTCTAGTTTGTCTGGAAGCAAATTGTTGTCCTAAAATGATTTCAGAGCTTCTGTCCACTTCCTGTCCTTACTGTGGCACACACACACATACACGCTCACATTAGCATGAACACTGGTCCACCCTGGGGCACCCACTGGCCTCTGGAGCCCTCAGGTGTATACGTCTGTGTGTTAGTGAAGTGTGTGAGTGTGTGTAAGAGTGCAGTTGTTTTCCTGAGCTTCATTTGCTGCCACATGGATGTAGGTTAGAGTTAGAATGTCTGCTTTGGGCTGCAGAGCCACAAACACACACACTGACTTAGATGGGAGTTCCTTGGCCAGACAAGGCTTCCTTTCACGCCCCTCAGATACAACGTCAGATTGGGTCAATTGTGTACTTTTCATACTCGGTTTGTGTGTGTGTCTGTGTGTGTGTGTGCATTTTTAAAGCTTAGTGCTTTTTTCTGTTTCTCTGCTTTTTCACATTCATATGTTTTTACATTTTCTCTGTCTGACCTTAAAGTCAAAAATAGTTTGTGTTTACGTCTTAGTGTATCTGTATGTTTTTTTTAAATTGAAACAGTTGTACTGTAATATTTATTCATCAACACAGAGCAGAAAAGTAGTCAAATCTCTAATTTTAGCTCACAGACCAAAGTCCACAGAGAAAATCAGTGATTTTAGCTCACAGACCAAAGTCCATAGAGAAAATCAGTGATTTTAGATCACAGAACAAAGTCCATAGAGAAAATCAGTGATTTTAGCTCACAGAGCAAAGTCCACAGAGAAAATCAGTGATTTTAGCTCACAGAGCAAAGTCCACAGAGAAAATCAGTGATTTTAGCTCACAGACCACAGTCCATAGAGAAAATCAGTGATTTTAGCTCACAGAGCAAAGTCCACAGAGAAAATCAGTGATTTTAGCTCACTTCAGTTAAAGGACGTTGGGTGTTGGAGGTTCACTCCTGTTAGTGAACAGCGACTAATGCAAGTTGTGTCTGAGTAACAAGTCCATTTATGCTTACAGTGAAAAGAAGAAACAACCTTAAAGACTCTGGGTGTTCTGTGTGTGTTTGTGTGTGTGCAGGGGTGTGGTATGGATGACATTTAGCTATAAAGGTGAGAAGTGTAAACCCTTCCCTCCCCAACCTGGGACAACACACACTCTTGCACACAACATACGCACACAGACACAAACTTACCTACACACACAGACAGAGCGGGCATGGAAAAGTCGTGATGTAATGACGCCACACTTTTTCACAGGAGAACATGTACCTAACTACACACACACACACAGTGATTTCACTGACTGCAGAAACACACACACACACTTCTCTCCAAACGTTGCACGTCTGTCGCTGTAAAAACTGCAGCCACAGCATCAGCTCTGATTCTTCAGATCTGAGAGTGAAAAACCATACGGAGGTTTCTCTTCACCATGGTGGAACAAAGTTTTAAAGTTTTTAAGGTCTTTCACAGAGGCAAAAAGACAGGCACAAGCAGACTCCGTGTGTGTGTGCGCGAGTTTGTCGGCAACACCACAGAGTATTTGCTTTTTATGATAAAACGTGACTCGCTTTGATGGATTTAATCTTTAAAACAGTCAAAAAAATGTCCCCTTGTTTCCAAAGTGTTTAAATAATGATTTTATAATTTTGTCATTTCGTTGAATTGAGTGAAATAGTAAAAAGGATGATTAAAACATTTCTAAATAAAACAGTTTCATCTGACTTTGCTGCTGTGTTTGAATCCTTGGTTGTTTCCATCAGTCTGTACGTTTCTGCGTGGACACCCTGACGGCACGTGTGTTCAAATCAAACTGTTCTGGGACTTTCTTGTAATTTGCTGTAATCATTTTAACGTCTCTGTCTCACTGTTTCTTTGACTGAGTTTTTAAACCACTCCCTCTGCTGAGACATAAACTCAGAAGTACAAATCAGGAGTCAGTGTCCTGTTCAGAAACTCTGAAGGTGGTTGACATTTTAGTCTGTGGGGATTAAACCAGGTCTAAAGATAAGGCTCAGGGTCAGAGTCAGGGTTTGATAATGTGGAGAGAGTGTGTGAGGAGGACACACTCACACACACACACACAGTTTCAGAGCCAGTCACCAGAGTCAGTCAGAATCTCATAAAATCTCCTTGTCTTACTTCTTTTTTTCACACACACACACACACACACACACTCGGTGTCCGAGCGAAGCAGATCTAAAAATAGTGTGTGTGTGTTCTGTTGGCGTTGGCCTGGGGGCCAACCTGGGCCCCGGCTTATAAATGGTGCTCTTTGTAGCGGAGTGGAAATGTCCAACAAATGACTCTTTTATTAGAGCAAGACAAAAAAATACCACTAATTATGTTTACCCAGATCAGCGCACGCTCACGTGCACGCTGCTCCCTGTGTGAGTAGGGGAGGTGGGGGAGAGAAAAGGTTAACAGTGAGAAATGATTTTCCAAAAAGGATCATAAAAATGTTGGAGAGATGGAGAAGGGAAAAGGACAGAAGCAGGGGCTGATGGGAAAAAAGAGATGGCGATTCCATCATCCACAAAGACAGCATGGTGCCAGGAGAGATAGGGAGGGAGGAGAGGAGGACTCAAAAACAGAGGGAATGATTGAGGAAAGATGGAGACAACTGTGGGAGACAGGTTGAGGAATAAGAAATAACGGAAGGAAGGAAAG